TTTTTTTTTTTTTTTTTTTTCCTCCATATGAATGGACTGGAAATTTTAATTTTTTTTTAAGTCATCATCATCTAGTTTGAGTTGTCCAACTTTGAAATGTTTTTCACTGTTCATTTTTAGCATCTTGCTAACCAGGGGAAAAAAAAGTTTCCCAAGCCAAAGGTAATGATATGACATTGTGCATACAAATTACGTGCGCTCCAGCATGCTCTGCTATCGATGTTTTGCTGTTAATTTGGGGTAACCATCCTTTTTCTTTACATACAGCATTAATTCAATCTGAGTCTTGGGAGTTGAGCTGCTCAGGAAATTTAATAGCTAAAAATACATGGTACTTGAAGGATTGGGTATGAATCTAGGTCTAAACCAGATTTGTGAATATTAATATTTTCCACTGTCTCAACTCAGTTGTTTGAATTTTTAAAACAGATGAAAGTGAGCACAAGCAGCCATCATCTATTTAAGTGGATGGGACTCTCCGCTTTACTTCTGTTTCGTCATCATTTTCAAAATGAGTGTCTTATTTGTTGCATTTCTATTTTTGAACCACAGTGAAAGGGCAACTTGGCTTCTAAAACCCTTTTAAAAATTAGTAAATGCACTTTTTGACTTTTTTTTTCCATCCAAGGCTTTTTGATTTTTGTTTTGTTTTTTGGGGTTTTTTTGGAACAAATAATGGTTCAATTTGTGCTTTGTCACATGTCCCCTGTACACCAGTTTTGTAGCAGGCCTCTTCATTTTACACCAAACAGTATAGGAAACACTTAACTTTTTTTTTTCTTGGCTTTGGATCTACCTCGCATGGAAATGGAGACCGTACAAGTTAGTGGAGCTATGTGTATTTGTGTGTCTTTCCTGTCATTGCCTCAACTATTTCTTTCCTTCCCAGGATGCCTTATTCCTCTAATGTAATGTTTCCCCTGTGTGTGCCATCTGAGTGGGGTTTTTTCTGCTTTTTAAATTGATGCCTCTTTATGCTGTTTGTGTGTGTGTGCATGTGCTAATTGTGTTCTCTGCCCAACAGCCAGCATATTTTGTGTTGGCTTATTTCTGCATATCCAGATGTCCTCGTTTTCCAGGAGTCTTAGTGTATGGCTGACTGCAGGGAATTGTCCATCCCTCCTTTCTTTCTGGAGTTTACCTCTTAACAGTTGTGGTCTCTTACTTGTGGCAGTAAAAGAAATGGCCAAGTGACAGTGCGAAGCTCGGAGAGGGATCAGAGCAGGGTGGTGAGAGTCTCAGTTTCTTTCATATGCGCAAAGCGCTTTAGATCCTTGCGCTGAAGGTGGATCAGACACAGTTCTCTGTGTCCCTTTGTGACTAATTTCTGGCTGGCCTGCATTGGTCGCCCAGCTGAGGACTGCGTGCAACTTGCCAGCCAAGAAATGCAGTTCCTGGGTTGCTTGTGGGGTGTTGCTAGAGAGCACTGTGTGTTTGTTCACTTTATTTCTCCCTCCCCTCCTCTTCTGCTGACTTAGTGAACTGCTGGCTGTAGGAGTGAGGTGCCAGGCCCTGCTCCACAATCTGGTCTCCTCCATTGCAGACCAAGTGGACTGTGCTTTTTAATTGTGTTCTAGGGGGGGGCACTGCTTTGACATCAACACACACAAGCAGCACTTTCCTCTTTCTCTGGAGGATGGGTCTGTTCAAGCAACACGATTCTCTTGCTCTTGTGATGCCTCCTCCAGGGCAGAGAGGTGCAGGGAGTTGTGCTACTGCTTTTATTTTTTTGTGCAAGATTTTTGCATGGTATTTTTTCCTGTGGTAGATGAAGGGGCTTAATTTGTCCTCACAACTCTCACTTCAGTCTTGTATCTGCATAGCAAATATCAGTCTTCCTGCTGTTATGTGCTTGGTATGATTATTTGTATTAACATGCATTCAGGACACTTCCTGATATAGCAGAAGTCTGTCATTCTCACTGTACGTCCCGGTGACCCAGCTTATACATGAACCCAGGGGTGGGGGTGAGGAAGGAGAAGGATACCATCAATACTTTTTTTTTTTTTTTTTTTTTTTATGTTCTGTGTGTGGGGTGGGGAGTTTTGGTTTTGCCCAGCCAAGGAGGTTAGCACACATCAGAGCTCTGAACTGTCTTTGTTCTCACAAACACAGCTGGGCCTCAAGAATAAGATTGTAGTTTGATTACTCGATGCACTGCAATGTATGTTGTCTGCCTCAAGTACAGTATCTGTTGGCATGCTTCATAACTTTTTTTGTGTGTTGTTTTTCTAGTTCCTGTTGAAACAGAAGTTAAATTGTGTCCAAAGGGAGTCCTGTTTGCAGAACAAACTGATGCCTCATTGCATCCAGTCAAGGTGAGCTGGGGAGGTGAACTTAACAACCCCTGACATTGGTGAAGTACCTCCAGAGCGGAATCCCGAGGGGTGCCATCTCTGTGTGGCGTTCCCATTGAACTGAGCATCCGTCTGCTAGGTTTGGGCGCTGCACTTGGCAAGAGAAGCCATTTTCCTCAAAGAGATGGCTACTGAAAATCCTTTGACATTGGTTTGTATACAATTTATTGAGAACCTAAAATGGCAGGCGGCTGATTTTGAAAAAAACAAAAAAATTGTAAACTATACTGCAAGAGACGGTTTAATCGTGTGCATCTGAATTGTTCTTTTTGGCTTAAATAGGTATTGGTTAAATTTCTCTCACATAGACATTAGGGCTGGAAGGGACCTCGGAAGATCTTGGAGTCCAGCCCCCTGCCCCAGGGGCAGGAAGACACCACTGTAATGTACTTGCCTACTGCTCTCTCTCTTCCAGTCATCTAAACCCCAATTCAGAATCCCCACCCCCACCCCCCACCCCCTTTTTTTACCCTCCTCTGGGGAGGGTGGGGGGAAGATTGCTTTGAACTACAATGGCTCAGACCTGAGCTTGAAGGATCCCCTTTTGAAAAGGCAGAATTTATTTGCTTTCATAGTTTGGGTCACAGGGGTGTCCAGCCTGTGGCATGGGCACCACGAGTGGCAGCCAGCCACAAATGCCCTGGCAGATCAGGGAGGGGACAGGCAGTGCAGTGGCAGATAAGGCAGAAAGCAGAGCAGCAGATCAGGCTGGGACTTGAAAATAGAGAAGCAAATCGCACAAAGGAGGGAGAACAAGGTAATTGGAGTAGAGCTTGGGAAGGGTGCGGGGGCTAATTTTGTGGCATGCCTGGCAAAAAGGTTGTCTCCGGCTAGTACAGGATTTGAGTTACGCATGCCCCTGACACCCTTAGTCTGACTGTCATCTTAAAAGCAAAATGAGGTTTGACTTATTTGAAATGATTCACTCCTTAGAAAAGAAAAGTAGCTAAGGCAGTGGGTAGGACCAGTCAAGCTAAGCCTCGTTTAGGAAAAGAAAGTCTGGACAAGAATAAAAATGGGATCTGTCTACCTGTATGTGTTATATGTAGATTACTTGCCGATAGCAGAATAGCCTTCACCCTTTTTGAGTGTATAGCTTGCACGCTGCTGTGAGAACACAAAATACATCCCTGCCAACAACAACACCCCAGACATTTATGTTTCCATTAATTCAGTACAGGCTATTACAATTTTTGACATCCCGATTCTCAAGTTATGCTTTAAGAAATAAAAAAGGTGGGGAACAGATGAGCAGGACCCCACAGAGGTATTTGGGGTGTTTGCACACAGGTGATAGCATAGGAGATGTGTGAAGGGGGAGTTCTCTTTACAGCTTGAATTTGTAATATTGTTCTTGTTGAAACACGGGAGGAAGGAGGAGGAAGGTAACTTAGCATGATCCCATCTCATCACATGACTAGGAAAAAATCTCAAGGATACACAGAAATATCAAGCTTACCTTCATCACCTTTCATGTCAGTGTAAACAGGGTAACTCCTCTTAAGGCTGCAGACTGGAAAGTCAATCCAGAGAATCAAAAAAACCCCAAAAAACAAAACACATTATTTTCTCTCCTTCCCTTCACAGGCATTTTGTTCTCTGTCTGCGTGGGCAGGGAAATACTGAAATTGTAGGAATTTGGGGGGGGGGTGGATTTCTTCTATTCGCATTTAAATGCAGAAAGAGTTTTACAAATCTAAACGAGATGGGTCTTAACAGCCTAAGCACAGAAAAAGAAAGAGTCATTTCCAAGTTCTGAAATAATCTGAATTTGGACAATCTCAGTTGGGAGAATTCAGGGAAAGAGGAAAATTCAACATCTTGTGTGCTATCTAGTATTTCTGAGGGCAGGTCTTGCCCCTGGCAAAATCCCTTTAGTATTCAACCTGGCACCCAGCTGCCAAAAAGTAGTCCTAGAGAAGTAGGGCTGGAAGGGCCAGCCCTCCAGCGGTCAGCTAGTCCAGCCAGCTGCCCAAGGCAGGATCAGCCCCATCCAAGCCATCCCTTACAACCCTAATCTAACCTGGCAGCGTTGTATTGCCTATATTGCCAGGGGACAAAGTCCTGCACGAGGGATGAGGACGCAGGCTGGCAAGCCTGAAAATATAGTGGGCTCCCGTAAGCCGACTAGGCATATTTTGGGGCAAATAAAATGCTCCCGCGTCTAACTTTTTGTTTTCAGGCGCATTTGCAGTTGCTGTATTCTTGTGTAACAACTTGTTCTCTTATAGTTTCAGACTGGTAGCACGTGAGTGAAGAACGTAATGTCATATTGGCAATGTAAATGCCTTCCTCTGATCGTAGAGCGCTCTTCCATCTTATGGTTGTTTTATTGTTTGTTTTTTCCCTCTTTCCAAAACCAAAACCAAAAAAAAAAAAATCAAAATACCATTTGGGATTTCAACATTCATTGGGCTTTGAGGAGATGTAGCAGCACATCATGGTTTGTAGGGACAAGGAGATACAGACCATTCTGGGCTGCCTCATTACCTCAAGGATAAGACAAGAAATTGAGCTTCTGGGTATCATAGAGGTGGAAGCTAACACACGCTCACGTATCTCTTAGGTCAGTTGAACCAGGTACGTGTGGATCGGCTTGCTCTGCGCTTGCACGTGTGTGCGCTTTTCTTTCCAGCCTTGCTGAGAGACCAAGCATTGCCTTTTCACGCCTCTTGGCATGTTGCGAGGGGGCTTGGGGCTTTGCTGTCTGACCCGCAGAGATTTCACTAGTTTCTTACCTTCCCCCCCACCCCATGGCCAAGCGCTTGACCCTAAGGAGGAGGCAGGGTACAGCCTTGCTTCTGCCAGCTGCTCCAGGTAACCCTCGTTTGTTTTTTTTCCCCCTTATGGTGCAATGCTTCCTCCCGTGTCTTAGCACCGGTGCTGGGACCGGACCTCCGGAGGGGGGCTCGGGAAGCGCGGGCCACCTCTCCAAGCGGCCATGTCAGCAGTGCTCTAGCAGCACGTAAATACTGGAGTCGAGGACTGCCTGGCTGCTCTCCAGTATTGCATTGCTGCTTGAGTGAGGCTGGATCTCGGTGCCTGCCGCAGGAGCCCACAAGCACCTCCGAGGGGGTGGGGGGGGCGTCTTTGGCCCTGCTGTAGCCCTCTGCAATAAAGCCTGGCCCAAGAGGCAGAACCCGTGGTGTGGTGTGTGTGTACGGGTGCTCTTTGCGCGGGGCTGCGGCCCCCTCCATCAGTGCAAGCAGCTGGGCTTGTGAAGGGTTAAACTGCTGCTCTGCAGCGCTCTCCCCAAGGGCCCCAACCCGGATTAAAGGGGGGGGGGAGGTCTGGGGAACCCTTCCACATCCCTCACGTGTCCTAGGGGCCCAAACCTGGGATAGCAGTGGGGAACACCTGGGCCTGCTCTGAGGAGCCCTTCCCTGCCCTTGTCTCGTGTCCGCGGGGGCCTGGACTGCCCGGGACTTGCCTCCTGTGTCGGCCGGGGCCCAAACCCGGGGGAACAGCGGGGCGAGCTCTGAGGAGCCCTGCTCCGGACTTACCTCATGTCTGCGCGGGCCCAAACGCGGGATTGCAGCGAGGTGGGGGGGCTTCCCCCGTGTGTCCGCACAGGTCTAAACCCGGGGCAGCTGTGGGAAGCGGTTCGGCTGCTGTGCCCGCGCGGGGCGGGGCGGGGCGGGCCGCGCGCGGGCTCCC